GAGAGAGAGAGAGAGAGAGAGAGAGAGGAGAGAGAGAGAGAGAATGAGAATGCTTTTTTTATAATTAATTTCGAAACTACTCCCGTTTTACGCGACGTAACGTGATTCGATTTGCGGAAAATAGGGAGGAATCCGTGAAGAGAAAATTCTCGAACGAACGAAACCTCCACCTTATCCGTCCCCGTCGCAATTTCGCATCTTCGTTCTGGCACGAACGCGACGCGCGGCGGGACGTTACGTCGGCTCGTGGAAAAGAAACGATGTATGCAAATGCGATGGGACGGATGCGAATAAAGAGCGAAACGCAGAAGGCGCGACGACCCCCGTTCTCTCTGCTTCCAGGCTATTTCTGGCACATCACCGACATCCACTATGACCCGAGATACTCCGCTCAAGCGAACGCGGCGACCGGTAAGTACCCTCTCCCCTTCATCCCTATTTCCTTCTTTTCTTTCTTTTCCTCTCTCTAATCGATACATTCCTTCCTTTCTTTCTAAGAATTCCAACTTTCGAATTTTCTTCTTCCTCTTCCCCTTCTTCTCTTTGTTCGCGCTTTCTTCCGTGGTAGGAAGAAATTCGTTCAGCTATCGTTTCGAAGGTTGGAAAGTGGCGTCGCGTTGCCACGAAATACAACGGTTAGCTAGCTAAAATTGCGTCTATCCGTGTCGTTTGGCCGTTAGCGTGGTAACGCGGCCGCCTTCCTTGTACACCTGCGTTCACCCCCTGCGTCTCCTTCTCTTTCTCGTCTCTCCCTCAGTTCCTGTTTTCAGCGTGCTGGAACACGAGGAACGGGGTGGGTGGCGGGCGGAAGACGCCAGGAAAATTCGGCGATTACGGCTGCGATTCACCGTGGGAGCTGGTCGAGTCCGCGGCCAAAGCGATGAAAACTTATCGCGGCGAGGGGATCGAGTTCGTCCTCTGGACGGGGTAAGTTTCTTCCTCCCTTTCAAATTTCCCCTCATAATTTCTCTCATCTGCGAATAGCTTCAACTTCCTTTCGGTCATGGCGTACGTGCATCGAGGACACAACGAATGCTTGGTGTATTCCGAATTCCGAATTAGATTTTGAAGATGGTTCGTAGTAGTGTAAGAAACCAGGTTTTCTTTTCGTGCAAATTGCAATAAAAATTGTTTTTTTTTTTGATTAGCGTTTGATAAACTTTTATAACTAACTTTCGATCGGAGACGATGATTTTTTTTTTCTCAGGATTAAATAATAATTCGTGGCCGAAAGGGTTGGTCGATCGATAAGAATCTTTGCGAGCAATTATATTTGCCGGACATTAATTGGACGGTAATCGCGGAAAGTTCGTCTAAACGAGTAACCCGTGGGAATTATCGAGAGTTGTTGGATCGAGAATATCCGGATGTTCTCGTGGAGAACGAGAATCGGCCGCGCATCTTCTTGCGATTGGATTGTCCCCGCGATTTTTTTTCTTTTTTCTTTTCCATCCACCTTATTTTCTTCGATCGTTCTCTTTTACGATAAGGAATAACGCGATTATCCATTTATTTTTGCGGTACACTTTTACTATCTCAGGGACGAAATGATTCGTTTAATCATCGGAAGGAAATAGGAGAGAAATTTACACAGTGATAGACAACATTGCGACATTTTATAAATTAGATGGAAAAGATAAATTTAATCGTGTATCTCGCGTAGAAAGGATGCAAAAAGGATGACAAGGAGGAGGAACGAGCGAAATCAGCTCGAACAGATACGAATGTTTCAGAGTTTATCGGTAAATTGGACGGTGAATCGATGAAAACTGATTAGTCTTCAACGCGTGGAAATTATTATCATAAACCGATCTGATAATCGATAATTCGCAAATTAGGAGGGACAAGATTGCGCGGATTTGTAAAGATTTGTGTTTACCGGGACGCGAGGCAGCCATTGTTCGTCCCGTATAAATTAAACCGTCGGTTTAATAGAGTTTGATCGATTTATATTTACCGCCGAATTGGGGAATGTTAATGCACTTATGAATAAATTATCGAGCCAATTGATAATTCTCCCCCGACTTTTGCGATCCGATATAATTTTAAATCGATTTATCGAACAAAAATTTCGGAAAGGATATGTTTGTAACGCGACGAAAATAATTACGAAACCGAAATTATTAAGAAATGTTTCGAACCGCATCTCATTTTGCCATCATCATCGATTCGTAAGGTGTTCAAACGTACTATTTCTATAGTTTACAGATTCCATAGAAACGAATTTCCTTTTTCAAAACTATTAACTCGGTATAAAAATATGCTTTTATTTCTCTTGGATCGTGGGATTACGACGGATTTCGGGCAACGCGATGTTCGAATGAAAATTTAAACGAAGGAAATTCTCACTTCCAGGAGGAGAGAGGAGGAGATCCAGCCTCTAAGAGGATCTAATTGCAGCAATTTTTTTAATGGCCTTCCGCTGGAGGATGGTTACAAAGTTTCTCCAGCTTTCTCATTAAGTCCCGCAAACACGTGTATTACGTGCATACGTAGACCAGAAACCAGGCTCAAGACTCCTGTTCATTCTTCTCAATTTGCACCATTCGATTTTCCAACTTCCTAATTGAGTTCTTCGTTCGAAAGTGGCGTACGCGCTCGTTAAACCTCTTTTACACGTCCAACGATGAACGATTTCATTAACCCCCCTCCCCACTGAAAATTTACAAAGATTCGAGGTTTTTATTTTTTCTCGAAAGGAGGGGGAAATAAAATAAAAAGATCGATCGTCTGAAATATACAGTAGAGACTTCCCATTATCCGAATATATTTCTAATGTACGGATCTTCTTCCGTTATAGCGATGTTTACATACACACACGTTTACATACACTTGGATTAGAATACGACGTATTAATACGATGTAAACACTTTCCCGTAATCAGATCGATTCGGCGCGAGGCGGAGAACGGATCGCGAGCGAGTTTCACGCGAGTTAGTTTTAACTATTGAAGATAATAGAAATAATTAAAGAGGAGTGAAAGTGGAACGAGATTAGCGCAAGAATACACAAATACGGGGGGGGATGTAATTCTACGGCAGCTGATTACGATAAAATATTTAACGGCTAAAAAGGTACCTCGGATCATTGATTAACAATCCTTAGTTTAAATCCAATTTCTTTTCTTTCAAATACGCGTAAATAGGGAATGAATTTGTTATATTTTACACAATTCTTGCCAGTACATCCAGTCTAAATTTACTCTATTTTCTAAATATGAATCAACCGTTTGCGCTCGTATTTACATCAAGTAACAAGAAGTGTAATTATATCATACATATTTACGTAAATACGGGTATATAATAACAAAATAGAATGGAACGACGCATGAGTGGAAAGGGTTACATAAAGAATCGTTCCAAAACTCGCGTACGAGCGAGGCGGTCGTTTCTTCTTCCGAAGAGGGGGAATCGTGAGGAGGGAGAAGGGGCACGCTTGAACCGGGACACCACTAACGAGCCTGTAACTACTTGTTGCAGTGACGCGCTGACGCGCACTACTGGTATGAATGCCGAGCTCCGTCTCCAGTGTTTGCGGAATTTGACCGATCTGTTGTCTCGCACGTTTAAGGGGCTATTTGTGTTTCCGGTGCTCGGGCACGACGACACCGTCAACTTCTCCCAACTTGCCGAGCTCTGGTCAACCTGGCTGCCCCAGGAGGCTCTGGACACTTTAAAAAGCGGTACGTACGATCTCCACTCCCTCCATCCTTGCCCCCCACCCCCTCTGGAAACGGGTTCTCTCTCTCGCTCTCTCTCGTAATCGCGAGACGACGTCGAATATCGATCGAGCACGTTCTCTTAACCCTCCCCGTTTCACTTCCCACCACTCGGAACGATATTAATACACTCGTTAATGAATCTTTGTTGTCTTTGGATTTGAGAAAAATGGAATTTTTCGCTACTATAATTCGATCCGCGCAAGATCTATTTTTATACGATTTTAAATCTAACGTTATACGGCAACGTAGGAGGGTGTTGTTTTCCGAATTTCCACCGATAATACAGGGAAGTGAGTTGAAGTTTGGACGACCAATTGGAGGCTTATGTTCGGATCAAAATACTTAAAATCGGACTTTGGAAACGAACGAATTAATTCGGAATCGGTGTTACAGAATTATGTTAATGAAAACTATAAGAACGGATATATACGTATAAAATAAAAATATTTAAACCTACTTTCGTTTAGGTAGTAGGTAACATTTATAGGAACCTCGTTGGTCGACGAATCGTTGACGATCGTAGCGAAATGGTATAATCGGATGAACAACGGGTTGAAGAAGAAGAAAAAAAAAGCATTCAGATTCATTACTTATTGGGAAAAATCAATATCCTCTTCGACACTTCTCACAGAATCCCTCACTCGGCCGCTTGAATCAACCGCTCGTGTACACGCCCACTCGAATTTTTATTCGAATAAAAGGCGAGCGCCGAGCAAACAAAAATTTCTTCCCTCCTCTCTTTCTGCTTCCGTCGTCGTTTCAATAAAAGTCGAATAACACGAGAGAATCGTTGCGAACAGAGAGAGAGAGAGAGAGAGAGAGAGCGCACCGGTGTATCGCCGCATATAACCGCGGCGCTGTTAAACTCATCCGACTATTTGGCGCACTTGTTACAGCCGGATATTACACGATAGAGCAAACCTCGGAGAAATATCGGATCATTTTCCTCAACACGAATTTGTGGCTGAACACGGCCGATAATCGTATGCTGCACCACCAATCCGGAGCGAGCGTGGCCGATAACACGCAGGATCCTCTGAATCAATGGTCCTGGTTCCAGACGACTCTCGAGACCGCGCGAAGGAAGGAGGAAACGGTAAGGAATTCGTCCGATATCAATTCGTCCGTGTTATCTCCTCCCATCGTCGCGCCAACATCCTCCTTTTCCGTTTCTATATTCCAAGCCTTTTATATTGAACTTTCCCCTACGAAACAATCGGTTTTTGTCTTCCATCTTCTCGCAAGACCCCAATTGTTTTTTCCTTCCTCTCTTTCCTTCTGTTCGATATGTTCGAGATATAACGGTGGATTTATTAATCGAGACGAAGGATTTACAAATGGATTCTCGCGTCGTGAAGCGAGAAATTTAAATTTCCGGGGAGGGAGGAAAGGGGGATAGACAGATAGGAGGGAGGGAGGGAGGGAGAGGTAAACACGAACGAGGCAAAGGAAGTTTATTGACGAAACGTCAATTCCTCCCTTGGGAGGGATGAAAATCGTGGGGGCGCCGCGGCGGTATCAATGCCGATGCCGCTTCGTTTCCTCCATTTTGGTTCCTGTCGCGATAAATTATTTACACGGGACGCAGTTATCGGGATGACAGGCTATCACTCAATAACACAACTTCCGACCCGAAGCTTTATAGCCTGAAACCGATCGTTGAATCCGTTTTCTCCGCGCCTCTGGATGGACCCAAGTTTCCCAGGAAATATTAATATTCGATATTGTTGGACGGCTCGATGATCGCGCTGTGAAAAAATGGAGCAGAAATATTCTTTCGAATTTCTTCTCATTCGCGTAGAAAAATGTGCACGAAAGAGAAAAGTTATCCCTAAAACTCGAACATCCCGATACACACAAGGGTGAGATCGATAACTCTCGACCTATCCAAGCTTCGTGGAACGAACAAGGATGGAAAAATGACACGAGCGCTCGAGTTTCCGTCATTCAAGATTCACACAGAGTTTCATAATTGTACCTGGGCGGAATCGATTTATCCTTAAAAACGAGTTGCAACCTCGATTCAACGCGATGCTCGCGTGCCCCGCGAGCAACCGAGGCCATTTATGGATTGATCGAAGTGTAAGCATGCTGTAAATTGTTCCTCCTGTATAGTAAAATCCTATCGTAAGCCTTCTTTCGCGATACAGGACGAGGAGGAATCTGTTTTAAAATTTTATCTCTCCTCCCGTTAAATAACGGAAAAAAAAAGAAAAAAGAAGAGAGAAAAATCAATTTGAACCTGGTACAAATAACCTGGTACTCCTTGGAAAATTGGAACGGCGAGAATGGCAGAAGGATCGTTTTGCCGAGAGAGAAACTATTTTACGCGATTTAATCGTCGCGGTGTAAAGCAGGCAGGGCACGCGATAAAGCTGGAATCCCTCGCTTCAACGGAGAGTGAAAGATGGCCGGGCAATGTGTCTCGTCGATCGCCGAGCTAACTTCCCCGAAAATTTACTCTTCGCTCCAATAAGCGCGTTTCCAACCGTCCCCGTCGGGATCGATCTTTATCCGGAACAAACGTCTATTTCATATCGGGCCGCGATGAAAAGAATTCCAATCTTCCCTCGGCTACGATTCGCTCGAATGAGAGAGAGAGAGAGAGGAGGAACGCTTTATGAGTTTGCCCCGCGAAATGAGATCGGCCGCGAATTTATTCCACGACCAATTACCATTCTGGGTCTGATGGGCTCTTTGCATTGCGAATTCGCCGGTTACGCGCTACAATTGGCGCGGTATCAGTGTCGGATCACGCGCTCCCTCTCTCTCACTCCGTAGATATCGGTTATCGATTACGAGCCCCCGAGCCGTTTAGAACGTTAGAGAGGAATCCTTCAAGCTGGCTCCCGCGTTACCCGTGGTGATAAATTATGCCGGGACTTTGAATTCCATACACGGAATCGTAATGTATCTAAATCGTTGCGTATTATATCGATCCATCCCAACTCCTAAAGGACGGTTCTTCCTTTAAACTTTGAACGCCAACTCTCGAAATAACGCAAAGATTACGTTGAGCGAGTTTATTAAAAAGTTGGCGTAATACATGTACCCTCTTGTTCTCGATTCTCGCCCGATCGCGCCCGCGTTGCTCTACTTGCCCGAGCTATATCGCGCTCGTACCACTACTCGATAACATTCCACTTTTACTCTACTTGCCCTTGAGCAAACGATCGAGTTAACTCCTTCCCGTATTGTCTGATGAAGATTTAACGAATAACACGAATGAATTTTTTCAATCGAGATTCAGTTCTTATAATCCACGATTATGATCTACGTTGCAAACTGCCCTACAGCTTGGGCCCGGATTTCGTCGAGCTAATTTGTACGGGAAGGGGTTAAGAAGAAGGAGGAGGAGGATTTTAACAATAAAATTAATCTGATCACAAAATTGGCCGTGCTTACTCTCTTCGAAGCGGCGACGATCTCTCTTGGAATTAATCTTTTGTCGATCAATCGAATTGTTTTGAATATTGTAGAAATGTGGCGCTATTATCAAGAATCTTTAACCTACCAACGTCGTTTATATTCGAGTGAATCGTGGCTCACTTTTTCGCGGCTGATTCTAACCTGAATTCTATTTTGTCCCAACTGATCCAACGGAGTTGGTTTTTCCGATTGTTTTCCTCGAAAATTGAAAATAAAAAATCCAGCCTGTCTAATCGCTTCACGAGTCTACAACGACTTTAAATAACGAAATGGAAATGCTTCTCTCTCGTCAAGGATGCGCGTAAATGCATATCTCGCACGTATCGTTGAACGAGTTTGAAGCGAGCTTTTCGAAAAACGATGCGGGTGGTTGCTCGAATGGATGGAAATCCGATCTGCTCCCCGGCCAGATATAATCCTTTGTCTCTCTCCTTTCTTCCACCCTCTCCGCCTTGGAAAAATGGAAACTCGTCTGGACTGAGAAATACGAGGATCGGTGGCAGGCAAGATCGAAGATCGATCGATAATACGATTACGAATTACAAGCCGCTTAGACACGTCAGCGGATGAAACTGACCAATCAGCAACACCATTGTCGGCCGGGTTTCGATTTATCGGCGAGCGGGCTGTGAATAGTGCGGTGATTTTTCCGCCTATCGGCTGCACGCACTTTTCGGTTTCGAATCAAATCGCTCGGGGCAAAAAATTTATACGCCCTCCCTGTTTTCCCTCTCAGATCACCACCACCACCCTTTTATTGTCACCGGCCGGGAATTAAATCCGCCCTTCCTTTCTTCTTCTCTTCTATTCGTTGGTAAACGTATCGAATCGGGTGGAGGAAAAATAAAAAAAAAAAAAGTAATATATTCTTTTCGATGGACGCGTAATCGATCCGTTCTTCTCCTTCCCTTTTGACACGTTCAAGATTCCCGACGATTCGTCTCGCTCACTCTCGGTGAATAGTAGCGGCAAGTTTCGAGCAACAAAGAAAATTTGTCGAACGAGGAAGCAATTTAAATATTTGAATCGCTTCATACATACGCGATAAGCTGTACGTAACGGAAATGTATTCCGGCAAAGATAGAGGCGCTCGCTTCCGTAACCCTTGAACACTTTCGTGCTCGTAAGACATCGAGCATTCTTTCGTCTCCGAGCATCTCGCTGTATATAATACGCACACGAACGCATATGTAGCGTGTATATGGAAGGGAATCAAGGTACGTAGACGCAACACGACGTGAAACCTTCATACCGTCATATGCAGATTCTTTGAAAGCGTCCCATTTGGATTGAACGATGTATACACGTGTCGCGAATTCCAGGTGGCGAAAGATGCTCCCTCGCCAACCGCGATCGTTACTTTCCAAATTTCTCTTCTTCTTTTTCTCGCGAAATCCGTTCGTATTTTCATATTCTTTTTTTTTTTATCCGGAATTTATTTAAATAACATAGGGAGGAGAGGAAGAGAAATCGTTTAATTCCTGTTTAAATCGTGGCCGCCATCCTTTCCAAAGGATAAAAGTATATATGGAAAGTGTAAGGAGGAAGGGGTTTCATCAATTGCGGCAAAGTACAAGAAAGTTGGTTCGTTTATTTGAAATTCAACGGCAAGTTTGGAAAACTCTGTCGGCTAACGATAAGAACTTGGAGTTCCCCCCAAAACTGCGAGAATTTCTTTTCCGAACCGAGATTCATCGTCTCTCTCTCTCTCTTTCTATCTCGTGACACGTTCGGGAATAAGAAAAAGGGGATCTACGATCGAGGAATTAATTTTCAGGGTGAAAAGAGACGAAACAATGACACGCGAGTGACTCTTTGTGAGGAGTTGGAAAGAAATCTCGCGGGAGAAAAACGCCGATCCAAAACCTCGACATATTCTCACCGTGGAATCCAAACTATTCCAACTTTTTTACTTCTGCTCTTAATACAGGATAATTACGATTCGTAACGATCGTTTAACAGTTCGAATAGTTGGTAATTGCACGAGTGAGCTAGATATGTATCGTATGGATAGTTTCGTAAATTAAAAAACAATTTTTCGAATTGTGCTTCTTTCCACCGGCGAACGAGCGTCGATTCTCGCGCTTAAAATAGTTCAATTTCACGCTGCAAATCAGATTTCTTTTCTGGCTTCTCTCTAATATACAACCTGTTTCAATATGACGTTGAACGAACACGGTCAATATATATATATAAAGAGAGAGAGAGAGAGAGAGAGAAGAGAGAGAGAGAGAGAGAGAGAGAGAGAGAGAGAGAGAGAGAGAGAGAGAGAGAGAGAGAGAGAGAGAGAGAGAGAGAGGAGAGGAGAGAGAGAGAGAGAGAGAGAGAGAGAGCGTGGAAAACTCGTTGCGTTCCCAGTTTCTCGAAAAAGAGTATTCTATAATTGAGATTCGATTATCGAAATATGGCGGAGCGCGCGTGATCATTGCGCGCAAAAAAGTCATTTTCGATTCGGTATTGAACTGCCGCGAACATGGACGGTTCTAATATCTACATTGCACCACGGATCAGAGAGATAAATAATAATCCTTTATTCCACGAGCTTTCTCCGCGACAATATCTCCCATATATATCGTACATTTTTCATTTCAACAGCACGAAAACATTGCGATAATACAAAAAGCAAATTTCAACATTGGAGAAGCGAAGTAAAATTACCGGGGGAAAAAAGAAAAAAAAAGAAAAAAGAAGAGAGAGAGAGAGAGAAGAGAGTTTCAGTTACAACGGGGGGGAAAATTTAAAGTAAAAGTATTAAAAAAATTACTTTCAGCGATGAAAAAAACGTTTGCAATAAGGGAGTATTAAAAAAGGAGGAGTGGCAACGGCATAGGTAGCGTAAAGACGGAAGGTAAAGAGGGCAACACCGATGAAAATTGGACAGATTCCAAGAATTGCCCTTGAACAAAAATACCGTTTCGAAGGAAGGGAGTTTGTATTACGAATATTAGGATGTACGTAAGAAGCGAAGACGGAGAGCGTTATCCACGACTTGCCAACGCGCATAATTAATCCGGTTTCCCGAGGGTGAAAAGGTTTCGGTCTGGAGAAGCTTGCGCACAGACAACTCTCCAGACGAAAATCGCGGCTGTGAAAGCGAACGCACGGGGCGAATACATAAATGCAAATAACACGTGATGCCAGCTGGGCCGTGCAAGTATCCACGGGGTACCTGTTGCGCGTCATTCATTTTGGTACTGATCCAGTCAACGTTTGTTTGAAAATCAATCCCGTCCGGCCGACCAGCTGATGAAACTGACCAATATTTTGTAAGCCGCCGAGCCGAAACCGGGTCGGGGGATCACCATGGTGCCTCCGCCAGTCCGATGGAATGTCCTGTCATCGATCGACCCCTTTCAATGAAAAGTCATTTTACCCGATGACGAAATGAATGAAAACTTCCTATTCACATACTTTTATCCCACCAATTTTTTCCATTTCAACCGTTGATAATTCAAAATATTAACGATCGTAATAAATGTGATATTATACGGAAAAAATCGGAAGAACTGATGTAAAGGAAATTTGGAAATACACAAATTTATACGATTTTCCACGTATTTTCTCATCTACTATCGTTATCAATTTAAAAATGACAAGCGTTCCTTCGAGAAGCGAACGTAGAGAGGGAGAAAATCTAACGTAACATTCCACGATAAAATTTTTCACGATAAGAAAGAGAGAGGAGAGAGAATATTCCGATATTAGAGTATAGCAAGTAATTGAACCGTGTTGTTCGGATCGTTCGAGCTCTCTCTCTCTCTCTCTCTCTCTCTCGGTCTCTCGAAATAAATCGCCCGTGATCATTCCCGCGAACGCGTTTCTAATCGTTTCGATGTATATTTAGTGCGCGGCACGTCTAATTCGGCCGCGGTTCACCGAAGAATGACTAATTCGATAGGTTGGTAGACGTGCGGTTGGACATTTCAAAGCCGTGCCACGTCCGCGCCGCTACGTAGGGAGAATTTGACCCCTTGAACTGGATAATGGTCGGCGAGAGGCACACAGAAAGAGCACGCCGACTGTCGGAAGCTTTGGCAGTGGCTCATGGTCAAGCGGATCATCGGAGAGGGGAAAAAGTCGCGTGGCCGTGTGCCAGAGTTTACTTTTCGATTCTAGCGATCCTCGCGATTCGAGGGAAGGAAAAATCTCGAGGATCACGCGATTCTTCGATCCTCGCGAATCGAGGGGAGGGAAAATCTCGAGAGCAACCTGGTGATTTTTCATAATCGCTCGAATCGAGTCGAATCGAACGGGACGCGAGAGTCGGTTTGAAGATCAGGATAGGTCGAATCAGGATCGATTATTTGTGGAAACAGACGGACGGATGGCAGGAGGAAGAGTTCTCCTCTTCCTCTTCCTCTTCTTCTTCTTCTTCTCCTTTTGTTTCTCGCGTAACGAAAGCGAGAATCGAGAAAAATTGGGCGCGCAAAGATGCGACGCAGATGCAGAGAGGGAGGGAAACGAGGGAAAGGAGAAAGAATCGCTTAATTCGTGTCGAGGGGGAGGCGCGCGAGCGCGTATATGTAAATTTAATAACGCTAATTTGGCGTGGGCGCGGAGGAGCGTCGTGCAGGACAGTTTACATGTGCTGGCTGTGCATTATGCATGCGTATTGTGTGCACCTGTTGCCCCAAATCAAGGTTCGCCTCTCTTGCGGAAACCTAATGCCGCATAATTGTGCTTTGAACGCAACAACCACGAGAGCTCGGGGAGGGGGGAGGGGGGAGGTGAGCGACGACAGAAAACGAAGAATGGAAAAAAGAGGGGAGAGGGAGGGAATGGATTAAAATAAAAATAAAAAAAAAAAAAAAAAAAAAAAAAGAAAAAAAGAAAAAAAAGAAAATAAGGAAAGAAG